TCCTTCGTTTCCTCCTCGAATCTCACCCGATTCAGAGTTCGTAGGGGAAGTGCTCTTCCTATCTTCTCCCTCCTAACCTTTATTGTCTTTTGGGCCTGGTTCACCATCATTATGGGCACCAACTCGGCTGCCTCCACTACCGTTTCACACAGGGTTACCTCGTTATCCTCTAGGCCCTTTCCTTCTACAGGGACCAACTGCAGAGGTCCTCTCCGTACCGTTTTTTCTGACATTAGCCTACCCTTTCCCGACACTGCGGTCCTAGGAGGTAACACATCTTCCTCCACCACTATGGTTATCTCTTCCTCTGGTGGGCATCCCAATGGCGTTCTCTCGCCGTTCACCACCAACACAGTAGGATTAAACTCAATCTGGCCTTCTGGCTCCGGAGCCAATCTTCTCCCAAGATTGCCTCTGTACACAGGTCGGGGGTTACGTAAAAATTTTGGGTGCTTTCACTTTCCCAACTTACCGGGAGAGGGGGGCTCCATCTGGACCTCTATGTCCGCTTCCCGTAACCTTCTCTTCCGTTTCACCCGCCTGTATGTTTCCCTCTCATCATGACACAGATGCTCCTGTGTCCACCAAAAGCCCTCATCTCTCTACCACCTATCTCTGCTCTACAGGATAGTTCTCTCTCTTACGTTAAGAAGAGAACACCTGAGCTTTCTTCTTCCTGGGGTCCCCACCTTTGGGTTAAAGCCACAGGCGCCGGCAGCAATAGATCACCTTCATTTTTTCTCTTAGCCGGACCTCTCCGGTCTCCATGGCCGTTTCTAAGAATACAATTTCTTTTCAGGTGTCCTGGCCTCCTGCAAAACCAGCACCTTCTTGCTGGACAGCTTGCCGCAAATGACCACATGTCCAACATTTTGCTCTTTCCCTTTTTAACTGGGTTGGCCTTGTGTCTATCCTCAGGGAACCCGTCCTCATTCAAGTGGTTCGCCCACCCACTGGTCCAAGTTTTTATTTCTCTCCTTTTAACTGGGCCACCCTCCCTCTTAATTCTGGGGTGGCCCTTTGGCTTTTCTTGGGCTCGGCCTTCTTTGTTAATATTGGTGGGCACCCTTCTTCAGCCCGCACCACTTGGCCAGGTGTCCTTTCTTACCACACCTGGTGCATCTGTCCTGATTGAAGTCTGGGGGCAATCCCCACTTCGTCGGACATTCCGCCGCCCTGTGGTCCTCATGCCCACAGGTCCAGCAGACCAGCCCATATCGACCCGGCGTGGGCGTATAAAAGCCATGCCTGGTCGACCATGCCCTTCTATTGGGGTCCTCCTCCCATATTTCTGCCCGATCCACCTCTTCCTTAACCCTCTGATTCCATACGGGGTTCTTCCGCCTACCCCTTCTTCCAGCCTCCCTGACTTGGTGTCTGCTTCTTCCCACACCTCTTCACCTTATCCCATACCCCCTGGCTCTCTCTGGCCAGCTCTATCGCTGCCGACAGTCTGAGCGGTCCCTCTTTCAGGACGTCGTGCCGAACACGCTCATCACTCAGAGCTTCCACATACAGGTCCGCCAGTTGGGCCTGCATGACCGCATTGTCCCTTGACCACCTCAGGGGAATGCTAATGACGATAGCCTTCCGCTCGAGCCCCCAATTCTCCCGGGTCACTGTGTTAGTTTTAAAACATGGCCTCTATGGCCGTACCCTCGTCGGCGAACTCTTTGGTCGGGTCTTTTATTTCTTCCCAAGCCAAGCGGGGTTGATTTTCCAAGAGTCCCCTTACGAACTCGACGCTTTTCCCTTTGTGGCATCGTATGTCGGGTACAGGGGTTTCCTGGTGAGCTCGTAGATGGTTCTCTTTTCGAGGATTGTCAGCCAGTTCCTGAACTCCTTCCCCTACCATCAAACACTGGGACCCTCGGTCCACCCACAGCCCCCCTTAAATCTACTGACAACCCCCGCCCTACTTCTTCTTCACCCCCACTGCTCTATCCGACTCATAATCTGACATGTCTAGAGAGCAACAATAAAGGGAAATAAACAAGGTGTCCTACCTTACAGACGATTCTGTTCCTTCTTTTCCTTTGGTCCCGGGTCGTTCTGTTTTCTGCTTGAACTTTCAGCAACGGCGGTCGATCGTGGTCTTCTCAGGGGTTGAAATCCTCGGTCACCACGGCACCATATGTGACGTGGTTGTCTCAGGGTTGATCCGTTGGTCACGGCACCACTTGTGACGGTTACACACCTGGCCCAGTGTCGGAGTTACGGCGCCAACGGTGACGTCGCTCCTCCTGGTCGTTCCTCCTGGGTCCAAGCGTGCCGCTCAACCCTTTGGTCAGATGATCACCAGCCTCGCCTTTCCCGACCCGCTTCCAATACCTGGTCACTAAAGCAACATACCGATCTCGGTCTGTCTACCCCCACGCTGTGTTTAGATCTTAGACAGACGGGACCAGCAGGGATCGGGGCCGATACAATGAAAAGTCCGACACACACACGACACCAAACAAAATTGCTGATAAAAAGGGTAACAACTTTTTATATCTTAAAGTCCGTTACATAAAAACAAAATTGTTCTCAATTCCCGACCCGCTCTTGGACTATGGCACCAAGCTTCTATCACACAATAGGAAAATGTCGAATTACCTACTTTCTAGAATCATGTATGTATGTTTGAGTGTGGTTCAGTTAAAATTTCTATCGATCATTCGCAGTTGATTCTTCTCTCCGACTTGAGTTGTATTTCTTCTTCTTCTTCTGTTTAGACTGGTAGATTTCTTGTTTCAACCCAGTGGAAGATTTCTTGCTTCGATTCAGTGGAAGATTTCTTGCTTCGATTCAGTGGAAGATTTCTTGCTTCAATTCGGTGGAAGATTTCTTGCTTCAATTCGGTGGAAGATTTCAATTTGTCTTCAACTTGGGCTGGAAATTTCTTGTTTCGAGGATTCTTCTGTCGTCCGAGGGTGAACTGCAACTCACGCCCAACCTAACTCAACTTCAACTCAACTTCAGCTCCAAACTCTTCTCAGGTTTTCAGGCAATCTTCTTCTTCATCTACTTGGGCTGGAAGTTCTTCTGTCTTCGACTTGGGCTGGAAGTCCTTCTGTCTGAGGGTTCTTTTTGCCCAAAGGGGGCGAGTGAATCGGGTCTTATGTCCGCGTTCAGGATCTTCCCTGCCTGCGGTCCTTGCAACTCAATAACTCCGGCTGCATCTCCAACTCAAACTGATTTCTGTCGACTGGGTCCCTGCTTATATTGACGCCGCAACAAACTGGGGTGGGTCTGTCGGCGTCAGGGTTTTCTCGATAATTCCAAAAAGCCGTATTAATTTTGACTTTCCATTATCGTTATTGTTTTTCAACCCCTTTCTCTCACAGAGCTCTTGGTGGGGCGGCGCATCTCATTTCTCTTAGTCTCTCTCATGTCAGGTGATCGCTCTCAACCAATCGCTCCTGATCGAACCTTTCTTTCTCTTCTTTTCCGCAGCCCACGTGACCGCCTCGTCCAACAGTTATTGATCGAGTTTTTCTTTCCTTCTTCTTCCGCGGTCACGTGATTGTATTCGACCAATTGTTATTGACCGAACACCTCTCCCTTTTGTTGGCGGGGTATTTACCTCGTGCTGGTTTAAAAAAAAAAAACAACCTGTTTAATAAACTGAATAAGAAAAAATTAACTCATATTTCTATGAATATTTCCAATAAATGCAAGGTGCATACAGGAACCATTTACAGTCAAAGACATTCTACTAAATTGCTGTAACCGTCAGCAAACCTGAAATAAACGCTACAAATCAGATAACTTAAAGGATCTATTTGAAAATACCAATCTAAGTAACATAATCAATTTCATTAAAGAAATTGGGCTCCACAAGTATATATATATATATATATATATATATATATATATATATATATAGGGAATATACATACACCTGAGTTCCCCCTCACTGGAATATGATTGGTTGGTGTCCGTCATAAATACAGAAGGACGTTTAGGTACGACAGACTTTAAGTCTATGACAATGCCCATTGGACTACGTCATTGGCTATCCTAGTGGTCTACACCTATTACCTGCGACTACGACGCGTATCAGTCGATTACTGCTGCCGTATTCTACTTGGTTATAGTAGCCAAAACCCACTTAGCTACTTCGAACAAATATATCCCTTTCCGGGACATATCACACACACACACACACACACACACACACACACACACACACACACATATATATATATATATAAAACAGTTTACTAAATCTGCTTACCTACGTGGTTTTGTAACCTATTTTGGAAAAGAAAATTATTTCCAGCAATACATTTTTGAAGAAAAATTATTACCAACAATACATTTGACTCTCAACAAAATCCCTCTTTATAAAATATGTCAATGAAAACTGATCTACAAAGAAGACATACTCTATTCATACATACCTATCAGAAAAAATCTTGTTGGCATTAAATAACCCTTCGAGGTTGATATGCCGTTAAACTAAATAAACCAAACCAAACCAATGGATAAGTTACAAGCCATATCTATTTTCAATTCTTTTTTTAGAACAGCTAGAACGTACCATTTGATTATTATTAAGTATAGCATTATACGAAAGTGCGTTGGACTTCCAACTCATAATTAGATAAATAAGATAAATTCTTAAATAGGGCTCTCTGCCCTAGTTTAACAATCTAGTCGATTATTTATTTACTGCTAGAGTAAATTCGCTATTCACTTGCGCGCCACACGTACTGTCTTATGCCAAATTAAGCTAATTGTTAATACAATTCCTCCACGAATTTGGTCTTGGACCAAACTTAGCATAGCCGAAGAAATGGATTCACAGATTTAAGTAAGTAATGTTGTCAATAAAATTGCATGAAAGAGAAAGAAAGATCGTAGATATGAAACTTGCTTTTGGCAGTTAATTTCAAAAGCTTTCGGTGGTTTTTGGCTGCAGACAAAACATTGGCATCTCTGGACTTGAAAGGGTTAACGCGGGTTATGGAAGGCTGGGCTAAACTTTCTGATTCTATATTCACCTTGCAGACATGTTGAAGATCTCGTAATTCCAAAAGTATAAATTCAACAGTTTCATGACTTGACGCTTCGTACGAATAAACATTTCATTTAATTCTTTCACTTATTTTTACGAGTTCCTTTCATCCCTGTTTTCTTTTTATTCCTCACGATTGATACTTTTTCTGTCCGTCGAATTATTTACTCATTATCTAATTAAACGATTTTAATTAAATCGCTGTTATTGGATTTACTAATTAAATGCAAAAGTAGCAACAATGGTGGATAGATGTTTCTGAAATAATTGGATATTGTCACCGCTTTCTTATAATAGTTGTTAGGTTTAATGTATGAAATTTCTCCTGAAATAGTTGTTAAATAAAATTGAAAAAAAGATAAAGGAAATGAAAATACAATTATGAGGTGGTGTTCAAAAGTTCTCGGCCTGACCTACATTCCTAAAACAGTCTTCTAACATTGGGTCATAGTTATACTGATTTGGCGAATTTTCGGACTGGTTACTTTTGAGCACCACTTCGTAGTATATTAGTTTAGTGTTTGGAAAACATTCGTTTAGAAAAATGATAATTCATATTTGTTGTAGCATACATACGGACGATAATGGGTTGTCTCCATTCAAATAAATACAGTAGTTAATACTGTATGTTGGTCTGCAGTCGGAGCTTTGTCCCCAGCTGTGCTGGTCAAAATCTCTGCCTCCGGGCAGAGAGGATCCCCAGACGGGGCTATGTCGAAGGGGAGAGTCTCGTTTCGGGAAACAGCTACCCGACCCCGTTTGATACAGGGTCTACGAGAATTTTTGGCCGAGCCTTCGGGTTCAGATACCCCACATTAAATTCGGCCTTGTTCAACATCTGATCGTGTGGGGCGGTTGGTAGATATCCTGCAGTTGGAGATACATTGTGAAATTCACTTGACTCACTTCTAGCAGTTGACTACTTCTTGTACGCGCCGCTGGCGAATCTTATATGTGTTGTTCATGTCCTAAGTATTATCGTTCATTATCAACCTTCGTCTGATTATTCTATTCGATAACCTTCCCTAGGTTACAACAATATTTAAGCATTTTTGGAATTTAAAATAGTATTTTTTCTTTTATGTGCTTTGACCAATCATGTCTCTCCACATCTTTGTAGCCCTCAATGTTTTTTTTAAAATTATTTTTTACTTTCCCAACATAATCCAGGTTCTGTTACCGATTTGCATGAACTTGATAGGCAGATTAATCTCTGTTTCTTTCTGTTCCTTTCGCCTTAAGTATTCCATGTGAACATCAAATTTTCTAAGCCCTCTTTCCTCATTGTATCTCCAAAATTTCAGCTGTCACTTTCTGATTCTAAATATATATATCCTCATTTGCATTAAATATTATTTGTTGCTTACATACTTTGTCCATGATAGGGCACCCCGAGGCGATGTAATGGTTAGCTTGGAAAATCGCTACTCTGTCCATGATATTTTCAGCACCCTTCTTTGGAACCACATCTCGGTTGTATCAACTCTCATCACAAAATCTGTTTGGAAATTGTCCAGCATTCACTGTTATCTTGGAGGATTGGTATTACATTGCAATTCAGCATTTTTTGTTTCTAACGAAATTTTCCTGTTTACTGCTCTCTGGTGACTGACATTTCTGTCATAGTCTATAAATATGTTTCATTTTATAAGAATTTCATGTAGCATTTTGCTCTTCGGATTTGCCTTATTTGTTTATAAATTTCCACCCATTCTCCATCTACAAACATATATAAACACTATAAATATATTTATAAATTTTAAAAATCTCGATTTTTGTTTACCTTTAAACAGTCCATTTTCAGACGCCTATAAAGTTTAAATGTAGCAGCACGAAGTAACCGATAATAAGTTGTGCCAATGATAATGTGAATACTGGTATACTCTTATTAATCTTTGTGTTATGATGGCTATATTTGTATCACAGAATAAATTTGTTCGCACGCTAATCCTCACTCAATAATAATACTATTAATAATAATACAACAATTCTCATTTTTTTCTCAAAAATGCTCAGGCGAAAATGCCATGATGTTATTTCTGACCTTAGGCTCTGGTTGAGACCTGGAAAGAAATGAGTATACACCAGAAATCAAAGGAAATAATAATAATAACAATAATAATAATAATAATAACACCCAGAGCCAGTTACGGAAATAGGACCTGTAACAATTTTATGGGACTACATAATACAAACAGAGAGAAAATCAAAGTTAACCGCCTAGACATTGTTATTAGAGGACGCAAAAAAAGTACCTCATTATTAATATGGCCGTCCTTGCAGACTGCAATGTATCTTTGAAGATTTTCAAAAATATATAAAAATACGAGGACCTTGAAATCGAAACCTCAAAAATGTGACACATGGGAACATCAACACTCCCTGCTGTAGTTGGAGCCCTCGGATTGGTTGGAAAAGATTCCAAGTGACTCATTGAAGGGATTCCTGGTAGCCCATGCCTTAAAGAAATACAAACAATTGTTCTCACGGGTACAGCCCCTTACGAAAGGCTCTATCTGTGTAAAATATGTGTCATTTTTTTTCATTTATATATATGCCTATCTTGAAACAGTTCATGTGAAGACGTCTTTCAATTTAAATGTAGCAACCCGAAGTAATCTATAATAATTTATAGCCAAAAATAATAACTGTGATTGATTGATTTGGTTTTTATGGCTTATTAACATTTTGCTGCTTATGTAAAACCAGAAAAAATTTGATTGCAAGAAATTTTTGGAGATAATAATGATTTACTGATACAATTCCTACTAATGAACCTATACCTGGTGGGGGGAGGAGAAGATGTGGATTCATACCCCTTCACAAGGATTTTTGCATGTAAGTGAATACAACGAACTTGGCTCTTTGATTTCTAGTTCCTAGCCTTTATCTATTAAACTGCCAGAACATCCAAGCTTACAACTGCTAGTATTCCCGAGCAGTCATCCCATAGATACTGACCAGGCTTGACGTTGCTTAACTTCGATGATCATACCAGAACCGAAGTTTCAACGTGATATGGCCGCAAGCCAATAATGACAATGTGATGACAGATATATTCTTATCATACATGATGTTACGATAGGTATATTGGTTTTTCGTATAATTGTTCTACAGCGTCAACAACAACAACAATAATAATAATAATAATAATAGTAATAATAATTATAATATCTATCTATCTATCTATCTATCTATCTATCTATCTATCTATCTATCTATCTATCTATCTAAAATTCAGTATCCTTTCTTCGTAACACACAAAACATCCAGAGAATATTTATTACTTGTTAAATCAGTTTAAAGTCAAGTGGGCATTTATCCTACTTTCATTACTCATATGTAATAAAAAACCTATTTAAATATGCTATATTTAAATATATATATAAAATGATATATGGATGACCGAAAATGATGAAACCTGATATTACTCACAATGTCAGAAGTATATTTATAAAACGCTGACATATGAACGCTAATAAATAGGTAAATCAAACGAAACCAATATTTACAGTTTCTTCCCTTGAAAGAAATGCATAAAATTAAATATGGGATTTGACAAGCAGTTTGCTGAAAGATTTTTGTGTTGCAAATCATTTTCAGCGATTTATTTTACTATTGGCAATCGTAGAAATTAATTATAAAAGTCCTAATTGTTTCTTCATTCAACAATGCTCTGAGAGAAAACTCCAGAAATTTATAGTATCCCATGAAGATTGTTCTTTATAAATAACAGATACCAGATATTTGCCAATTTGTTTGTACGTTTGTGATGATCATCATCACACACATACATACATACTTACACAAATTCAAATTATACAACAAGCATTCATTGGAAAATAAATCAACACTACTGTGTAATGGACATTTTATAAATCGCAGCTATGCGACAATTTTAAAATCGCTATATTTTCATGTAGTCGATTTCGTGCGCTTTTGGGAGAATCGGATCCCAGAGGCTTTCTTAGGTCTCCCCAAATCTCACTCGCTAATTGGTCAATAAACACACAAATGGGCGTTGCAATCCACCCACGCAAAATATATTTTTCCAGCGCGTGACCAAGTCAAGTTTCCCGCCAAGGTGCTGTGATCCTGGCACGTGATTACATTATCTATAAATAGCAAACACGAGTTTCTCTTTTTTTCTCTCTTCTTGCTGCAAAATGTAGTCCCAAAGAATTATCGTCACGGCCATGACGGTCAGACGTTAAATAATATTTCACGCATTCACGTATGTACGAACTCTTACGAACTTTTCCAACCTACATTACAAACATACAGAACATTTCCAAACATGCAACAAGAACTTTTCTCTTTGAAACATTCTTTTTAAACTACAGTTTAATAATTAATTCAACCTTTGTGAGCTCCGATAAAAATATTTCCAATCTAAGAGACATAACTCCATCAGATCTTTAATTCCTACGCATGTACACCAACACACAAATAAATACAATTTTATGTTTTTAAAACCATTTTGTTCCTTCATGCTTTGTGGTATTTTACGTTTAATATAAATTGTGTGGTCATGTTATTCACGCAACCGTAAACAGACATCTACAATTGTTCATTCTTATTACCAAGCCACTACAATAATGGTAACTCCGACTTCTGAAACAACTAGACCACTACAAGCTCATCCTATAGAATGAAAAAACTGGAGTGATTCTGATCCTCATTGGTTGACCTAAACTTGTGTCCTCGAGTCAAAATAATCTAGACGTAGAAAATTGCGAATAGGCAAAACTCCTTGAATTAATTAATAACAAACTAGTCTCGCATACCACAATTACTATAAGGACATTGACCAACACTGAGTGCTCCATAATAAGGGTCTTAAGGCTGATTATCTTAAAATTAGAAACTACTTAATGGGCGTGGATCAGTGGTTAGTAAGCATGTTTATCATGACTGACCTGACTTCGATCCTCACTGAGTTGTGGCCTTGTATCAAACCGAAACAAATGCCAGATGAACAGAGTGACGTATTAACGAACTGTAAATGAAATATGGATGCACGGATATTGTTACGGAAAGTTGAATCAGCTTTTCTCTTTTGCACAAATACCTTCGGAAAAGGCATGGTCCTAGCACTTCTCCCTCTAGCTACGGGTTAAATTAACAGCGTAGATTAGAGCCATGGGTAGCAACCAGACTATGAAGAACTCTGAATTTCAAACCGTGGAGAAGACAACGGAATACTACTCCAATATCTTTCCCAAGAATGTATAGCAATTCACAAATTATAAAGAAAAAGAATCTGTGGAGTTATGATAGTTTACGTCATAAATGATCGAATTTAAAAGTAACGCCTACTTCTTCAAGGATGACATTTAAGAAAATCGCCTACATCCTCAAGGATGACATTTAAAAAATAAATGAAATATACATATAAATATTTTAATTTATTTGATGAAAACATATATACCGTCTCATGTGACTTTTGAAGACCTAATTTTGAAACTACAGTAAATTGATATATAGTTTGATCAACGGCCAGTAGTACATACGCTAATTTTATATCTCGTGTATGATCTGATTATTTGAGGTTTTATTTAAATGTTTTTCCTTCTCTCCTTTTATGATACTTTGGAGAAAATAAAAGATTCTAATCTTTAAGAAATTTGAATATTAAGATTTAAAATTTATATTATTGTTTAACAATATGTTATTGTGCTAAAAGTAAATATCGCCAATTTTTTAACCTTCGTTACTATCGTCGGATATTTAAGAACTCTACAAAAGGATTTAATACCTAGGAAGTGACAAGTAACTATAAGACATTTTTAATTTTAGTTATATCGTTTCTGTAAAGACTGCCTGTAATAATTATGGTAGAAATGTATGTAGAGATCAGAGCAACTTTCTGACTGGAATGTGAAGAAAATAAATTAAAAGGATTTTGATTGATTATTATTTTATTCTTTAATCAATTCACCCCAAGCAAGACGATAACGGCACTAAGATGCATGGACCCGATGGAAGTGAAAGAGAAGAAAAAGATTTTAGAAGGAACCGGAAAACCAATAATGATATAAATTTCAGAGTTTAGGCGGTGATGTTAGAAGTTGAAGTAGAATTTAGAAGGAACCGGAAATCCTATTCTAAACAGGAAAGAAGGGATAAACCCCTACCCCTGTTCAAAAATCAGCGGAGGGGAGTAAACCGGGCAATAGGTAAAACCTATCTACTCTTATTGTGGAGAAAAAATAAATAAAAAATAAATGGTAAAAATTTTAGTTTCGATTGTTTTGAAAGATCACAGTGAAAATAAAATTAAACCTATATTTGCATATTTCAATGTTAATTGAAATATGCAAATATAGGTTTAACAAATTAATTTTTTAATACTGGCTTTTTAATTCGAGTTTTCAAAATAAATTTTTTTAACGTTTTTATTTAGCCTATATAAAACCAGAAAGAACGCCCAATACAATATATGACAAGAAATTTAAGAACTAAATAATATTTAAGTATAATAATAATAGTATTTAGAATGATGTTTGAAAACCCCTTAGAACTAATGATATGAAAATGCCCCGGAAGACTACGGAAGTTTAATAACCTACACTTGATACATTTCCGGTTCGTTAAGGTTCAACGCTTTTACTCACCATCTCAATAATTGTCATTGATTAAACTATTGCTCTTGGCTTTATTAATGTAATGTAGGAATGACAGTAGACATATGTCTCATTCTGTTTACTTTTGCCTAAATCTATTTTTGACATTTGATGAGATTACTTTTTCGTCTGAAAAATATTTGCGTTATGATATGGTATTTTATCTGTAAGCCGAACGAGATTCCAAACGTTTTCACGTGGTTAACAACAAGCCTTACTAGCGATATGCGATACTAGATAGCAGTCCTTTTGCTTACGAGATTGCCGCTTTACGACTAAGCCAATCCGCGGGGAGCAAGATGGCAATCTTAAGAGACCCTTCACGATCCCAGCTCCATCAATTCGTAACGAGTATAACGCACGTCGAGCATCTCAAGAACAAATAGATTTTAAAGCCGAACGAACAAAAGAAAAGCACATCTAAATGCGCATGCGTGCAGGCGCCTGGAACATTCAAAGTGGAAGAGACGACAGCGAATATCTAACCATTTCATTGTGTTCTCGATTTCGGCAGACATCTTGCCAGTAATAAGCAATTTCCATTCTGATATCGTCCTTCCCCTTAAGCTAAAGAATTCCAACAATTTTTTTTCTTGGCTATGGCTGTTGGTGTCGTGATGAGCAGCCCGGTAAGCATACCAAACCAAATTGCCTGGCACCGGGGACGCTGGAATTCTCCAGGTTGTCATGATGGAAGATTTTTCCAATTTCTTTTTGACATGTCGACATCGTTATTTCGTGGACATTTTCGGCTTTTTCTTCTACTCTTTCTTTCTTCTCTTTTTTCATTTTGTTTTCGTTTTTTTTTTCTCTCTCTCTCTCTTTCTCTCTTCAGTCTAAATTTTATTCCTTTCTTCTTTAAATCGTTTCATTTTTCGTATATCACGTTTAATTTTTATTTAGCTCCTTTAGCTGGTGAATTTTACTTTATTACTTTTGCATACCATTTTTCTTTCTTTCCTTCTCGGTAATCCTTTTTCTTTTAATTTTCTCCTCTTTATCACCAGCGTCCTTTGTTTTATTTTTATCTTTTGTGTCTTTTTCCGAAGCTAATTTTTATAGGCACAATTATTTCGAATTCATTTTCATTCTTTCTAATTTTCCAAACATTCGATTAGTTTTAATTTTTTTATCAGTCTTCTAAAATTATTTACAATTTCCTTCTTGTTGTATATTTCAAACACCTTTTCATTGCATCAGGAATGTCTTCCTACTTAACAATTTAATCCTAAACCTCTTCACCAAATTCTAGTTTATTTTATATTTTTTCTCTTATTTTAAGAATTTTCCATTTATTTTCTGCGTTCTCTTCATATTTATATATTTATTGTATTTTTCAAAACACGTTCTACGCTCACTTCACATTTATTTCAATTTTAAAATACTTTCTACACTCTCTTCATATTTATTTCATTGTGCAAATACTTTCTACACTGTCTTCACATTTATTCCAATTTCCAAATACTTTCTACGCTCACTTCACATTTATTTCAATTTTAAAATACTTTCTACACTCTCTTCATATTTATTTCATTGTCCAAATACTTTCTACACTGTCTTCACATTTATTCCAATTTCCAAATACTTTCTACGCTCACTTCACATTTATTTCAATTTTAAAATACTTTCTACACACTCTTCATATTTATTTCATTGTCCAAATACTTTCTACACTGTCTTCACATTTATTTCAATTTCCAAATACTTTCTACGCTCACTTCATATTTATTTCAATTTTCAAATACTTTTTACGCTCACTTCATATTTATTTCAATTTTCAAATACTTTCTACGCTCACTTCACATTTATTCCAATTTCCAAATACTTTCTACGCTCTCTTCATATTTATTTTAATTTCCAAATACTTTGTACGATCTCTTCATATTTATTTCAATTTCCAAATACTTTCTACCATCTCTTTATATTTAATTATTTGAATTTTCAAATACTTTCTACGCTCTCTTTATATTTATTTATTTATTTCATATTTTAAATACATTCTACACTCTCTTTATATTCATTTAGTTAAAATTTCAAGTACTTTTAAAACTCTCTTTCTATTTACTGCTATTTTGAAATACTTTCTACGCTCTTCACTTATTTATTTATCATTTTCAAATACTTTATACGCTATCTTCATCTTTATTTTTTCCATTTTAAAATAATTTCTTCATTATTTTTCTTTCTTTTTTGATCATTTAATCTTTTAATCTCCGATCTCTGAACTTTTCTTGCTCTCTTAATTTCATCTTTCCGGCCGTTTTGATTTTAGTATTGTTTCTTTTTGCCTAATCCACTCATACTATTCTTTCTTTCTTTCTTTCTTTCTTTCTTTCTTTCTTTCTTTCTTTCTTTCTTTCTTTCTTTCTCATTCTCGAATTCCATCTACTTGCCCTGAAGTTCTTTCCCTTCCATATTTTTACCACTTGTAAGTTCTCAACCATTCTGATACAATTATCTTCTATCGAATTTGTCGTCAGTACTTAGAATTTCTTTCTTGCTTTCTTCAACACTTTCAATTACTTTTGAAGCTATTTTTTTTACATTTACTTCATACCGATCTTTCTTTTTCATTATTATCAATTTCTTTCTGAACACCCATCACTTTAATCCCATTTATTCTTATCCTGTACTCTCGAGCCTGATTATTATTTCACCCGCTTTTTTATATTTTACTTGGTATGGCTGTATATTCCCTCTGTACCCTCTAAATGTCCAAACTAGATATTTAAATCTCTATTTCTCTATTATTTTCTCATATTACTGTTCTCTTTCTGTTCCATCATAATGATTGTTATTTTTAACGATTTCTCTATCTCTTCTTTTCTATCGCCATCCGCCATCTTTGCATGTATTTTTGGATTCAAATACTTTTATTCATTGTACCTAAAAATACAAAGGTGCATTACCCGACGATATGTCCAGTTGGCCTAATTTAGAAATCTTTGAACCATTTTGAGTTAAACTTAGTCGGTATGTTCTTTGGAGCAAGGATTCAATTTGATCGTAGGGATAGGAACACCGCGAAGATTGAGTTTATTTTTTTTTTTAAATATGAGTCGAAGAAAATGGAGAAAAAATTTTGGTAGGATTAGAAATGAGAAATTATTTGAAAAACAATCTTAGTCAAAAATTTAAAGATAGAAAAATTCAGGAACATTCGATTGAAGTTACAACAATAATAATCGATCTTATATTATAATCCATGTAAACTTTATGCATTATTCAGTGTTTTAAAGTTAAACTGTTTGCATATTTTATGAAATTACGAAATATTTTATTTTAATCATTTTACCCCAAGCAAAGCAATAAAGCCACTAGGGTTACTGATGTTTAGAGAATTGAGAAAAAACTATTAAAGAGAGAGGAGAATAAATGAATAAGAAAACAGAAGATAACGATTGACACTGCATTTAAATTTTTGAAGATCAAAACTGAGTGAACCAAGAAGCCGGAAGAGAGTTCCACAAGCGAGAAGTGCGAGAGAAGAAACTGTTAGCATAGAACTTACGGTTATAGAAAGCCATTTCAACTGTAAAAGGATTAAACTTTGCTGCCAATCTAGTACTGTAATTAAATTAATAAATTCTATGTAGCATAGCGGAAAGCTCATCAGAACAATTACCATGAAAGTATTTATAGAAAAATCACAGGGAAACTTCGGTACGGCGGTGGGAAAGGGATTGAGGCCGAGATGCCAAATCAGGACTAATAACAGTGCATATTCTTCTTTGGATTTTATCAAGAATCTCTAAATATATAGCATGAGCACCAGACCAGATCTGCCAGCACTATTCAAAGCAAGGACGAATGGTTGACTCATGGTATGGTAGATTCTGGCAAGAAAAATTGTCTAGCACGACATGAACCAATATTCATAGCTGTAGATTTAGCAATTGATTCGATATCCTCTTTCAACTCCTTATCAGCTGTAACAAGTTTGTCCGAGAAGGCACAATGAGTCACTCTTCTGGAGGTTAGCATCAGCCATACTAATGGAAGGTAAAAAGGGTTCTCTCAGATTATTAAAAGAGAGCAGTTTAATTTTGGAGGCATCAAAAATAACAAGCCACTCCTTGCCCCATTTAACAACAGATTGTATTTAATTTTTGAGAATAGCTGCCAATTTGATCTGATCGAACGGATTAGACTTACTAGTAAGAGACGAGTAAATAATTGTGGCATTAGAAGAGATACCAAATGGAATAAAGTCATTGAATTAGGAATATCATTTATGAAAATTAGAAATAAACATAGGTTCAAGGATAGATCACTGAGGAACACCTGCATTTTTACAAAAAAATCTAGAAGAATGGCCATTCAAGCAACATTTATTTCTCGATTTGATAAGATTGAAACAATTCAAAAATTCGTGCAGAAACGCCATAACGTTTCAACTTGTGAAGAAGAACAGTATGCCAAATCCTATCAAACCCCTTCGAGGTATTCAAAGAAAGAGTTTGAGCTTATCTAAAGCTTTATAGTCTTTTTCAGCAATGATCGTTAACACATCAGCAGAGAAACGAAAATCATATTGCTTATCTGAAAGAAGACCCTGCAATGTGAGCTGTTTAATAAATTCAGAGTTGATTAGAGCCTCTAGTATTTTGCCTAAAAGAGGTAGAAGACAGTTCAGAGGCACGTTTGCAGAGATACTGTCAAGTCCATATGCTTTGTGAGGATCCAGTTTAGAAATGATCGCTGAAACCATGGACAAAGTCACTCAATAGAGACTTGGCTCTATGTGGAAAGTCAGGTAAAGGTACACCATATGAGCCAAGAGTGGAATTTAAAGTGAATTTACAAGCAAATCAGCAAACGCTGTTAACACTTGAAAGTGAGTGAAGAGAGGAGGGATAGAAGACTTATTCTTATTTGACACACTGTTACAGAACCGGCGCAGTTTGTCAAGAGCAGATCCTGTTTCTAGAAACTTTCTATGTATAGCGTAAATTGTGCTACGCGTTGGAGCGGTGTGACGGCCATAAACCTTCTCAAACTCGCACTGAACTGCAGTTGGGGAATGAAAAACTTCTTGCCAGGCGGCAATTTTGCAACGCTGCTCCAACGTCAATTGGCGAGCCATTGATAAGTCAATGATACACTTACAAACACTGCAAAGCCTATGCTGTCAAATGCTGATGGCCTCACGTCTCTCTAAATGATACCTGAAACGAAAAAGAAAATGTAAATTGAATTTTGAAACACCCTTTATATATACTTTTTAAAATTTGTTATATTTATGAGAGTGCGCAATAAAGGAGATAGAGTGTTTATAGATATAAACAGTGTGGACATAGGAATCAATACTGCATGATGACAGTCTATTTCACGCAGCAGTGAGATCTTCAAACCAAGTTCAACTATTCCTTTAGTGAACTGTATAAAATCCCTCAACCTAAATTTCATAAACTTTATTCCAAATGACAAAACAAGGAACCTAAGAAAAATACACGAAAGAAAAAATATGCAAAATAAACAAAATATATAAACGAATAAATTCATAAACAAATTAGAACGCTCAAGAATTAACAAGAACACCCAAAATGGCTACAATTGAAAGAAAAGAGGAAAAAAAGAAAAAGAGAGAAAAGGTAATAAACCAATAAAGAGTGAAGTAAAACGATGAAAAGTGAAAAAAACGATGAAAAGGACAAATAACCACGACATTCTTCATATACGAACAAATGCCCAGTCGGACGCACGGGTGCACGCGCGCGACGCACACACGCATGCATGCATGCACATATACACTATGAAAAACAAAAACAAAAAAACATTGTACCAAGAAAACGTTCATATAAAAAAAGAAAAATCGAGAAGTATAAGCAGTCAATTGCTGATACCCTATGACGAATGGAGGGGGTGATGCTGAAGGTAACATCAATTAGTTAAGTGACCAACCATTTACTTGTATTAATTCTCTCTCTCTCTCTCTCTCTCTATATATATATATATATATATATATATATATATATATATATATGTGTGTGTGTATAAGCAATACAGAAGTCATGACTATAACTCTAGCCTATTTGTATACACACTTCCTCCAAAGACCCATCCATATGAATAATCGATATAAAGGTCATGATCAGAAATGATCCTCGTCATTAGCCATAAACAAAAGAAACTATGAAGAACCAGTTTCCTAGTCCCCCAATTTATTTAATCACCTGGTGGCGTATACACACATATATACAGTCCGTTAAATAAGTACTGAAAATTGGTCTGAAGCTTGCATTGAAATGTGGAATTTAGTCACCATGGAGTGCAGATTCTTATGTTCAAACTCCCTCTCCCTCTCCCTCTCTCTCTCTCTCTCTATATATATATATATATATATATAAAGTCCAGTGTCCGTTGTTCGAAACACACAAAACAGACAAATCAGTTTAAAGTCAAGTGTGTATTTATTCTACTTTCATTACTTATATGTGATAAAAAGCTGTTTAAATATATAGAAGTTCATATGCATATATAGAAAATACTTATCTATGTATCTATCTGAATACGCGTTTGGTTTTATGCATGTGGGTTTCTTTTTTATGTTCTCACATTTTTAACCTAGTTTATTCTTAAACTAAATGTTCCATTTTCAGTCAATTGTTATGTGCAAACGGACTTCTTTTTATTCCTAGACTTTTACAAAATTGTTTTCTCAAGTTTAACGTTTTATCATACGTAAGTAATTCCTCAACCCGAGTGAATCATTGTTTTTTTCTTTCCGCTTGTTCCCTAGTTAAGTCCATATTCTGAAAGTTAGATTATCATTTCTTTTACAGTTTTCTCTTGACGACACCTTTTTCTTATTTACGTATTTTACTAATTTTCCGTTAATCTATTTCTTTATCGCATCTTTATTTTTGCTAATTTAATACAGGTTTTCATTTTTATTCTTATTTTCTCCTTCAATCTATCTCCTTTACGCTCATTCCATTATTACTATCCTCACTTGTCTCAAGTAATTCTTTATTTTGTTTCTTATAAATACCCGATTTTTTTCTTCTTTGATTTCTTCACTATCTTCCATATCTTTTTATGATTTCATATTTGTATTCCGTGTTCATTTCTCTTTTCATTTCGACTATCATTTTTTTCGTTTTCTTATTCCTCTCTTAAAACACTTGTCGTGACCTTTTACGCTTATTTTCTTTTTTTTTACGAATCATTTTTCAATTATTATAAATCTTTTATATACTTCTCTCATTCATGTACTACTTTTCACTTCTTATTTAATTTTTTTTCTTTCAGGATTGACTCTTTTTATCCTCACTATTTCCTTTCAAACAATCTCTATTCCCCGCGTTCATTTCTACCATTTTTATGACAAACAGACGACATTGTGTATTCTTTTATCCACTCTTCTTAGATGTTTATCATCTTTTACGATTCCCGTCGAATGCTCTTCTTTCTTTGGAAATCAGAATTGAACAGCTTTTCTTCCCCACTTTTCTTTTTCCTCCGTTCATTTCACTCCTTTTTTTTATTCTATTCCTGTCAGTTCGTTTTTCTTGTAGAATATGACTTTGACTTTACAATATCAAGTGTCACTGGAGACATGCGCAAATGCAAAGCGGATTATATAGACTTTTTCAATCAAAAATATCTATATAGAAGACTGTCGAAAAAGTGTGAAAGCGAAATGAAGAGTCAGTCATTTCTTTAGATTTAACCCCCAGTTAAAAATAAAAACAAATCAGACGGTCCAAAATATTCTCCATTTGTAAAAGACAACGTTTTTAAAGATTACTTATTTAAAGGTGTCATAGCGTCTTGAGGATATTCATATTTCAGAAGTGATTACAAAGTGAAAGACTATTCATCGTGTCAAAGTTCTTTTTGATTGGATCTTTAATTTTTGTAAATTGCACTGCTAAAAAAGTGTTTACTAAGTTAAGTTTGACACAAGATAAAAGGAATAAGAAGACGATGTTATGCCATTCTTCCAATAGTGGGGGACTTTGTTACGTAGGAAATCAGTATTTCAGTTTTTGTTTTTTGTTCTAAATCGAACCAGTTTCCTGCCAATATGTCTGATATTGTCTCGAAAGATATAATTATATCAGTTTCATGTCTAAAATGACTGGTTACCAAACATTGTTTAGTTTGTCAAAAACCACTAATTGCGTACATTTAGAGGCATGAAGTACTATAAGCTGTTTTGTATTAGCCAAAATAAAACTTCTAGTACCTATTTCTGCAAGTAAATTGAAGCAGTCACTTATGTTTCAGTGATAAAGCAATGATTAGTACCTATTTCTCTTTATGTGCCGTGTCCCCTCAGGACGTGGGTGATCATAGGTCTCCACAATTTTCTGTTCGTTGCAGCTCTTAATAAATTTTGTCTTTTTGTTATTTCTCTTAAACCCTGTCCCGCCATTCATTTCCTAAAGCTCGCTAAGTATGTTATGTATTCTTTTCCTCTGTCCCTCTTTCCTTTAAACTGTCCTGTGCGTATCATATTTTCTAAGCCCTGTTTCTTCATTATATGCTCTATAAATTTCAACTGTCTCTTCCTGATGTTAAGTATAAGTTTCCATTTTGTTTCCATTTTCCGTAAACCTTTGTCGTGGCTTACATGTTCGGTCTATATTCAACATCCTTCTGTAGAACCACATTTCTGTTGCTTCATCTCATCGTCCAGCATTCACTGCTTATATAGGAGGACATATGTTACGTAACAGTTCAGTACTATTTTCTTTGTTTCCAACAAAGTTTTCCTGTTTCTTAATATCTCTGCTTGGAAGGCATCTTTGGCTAACCCAATGTGGTCTCAGATTTCAGAGTCAAACATTCCGTCCTCTGTTCCTATCGTAAAGAAGATTAAATTATTTACTGTTGCTCTAGAGCAGTGGTTTTCAACCAGGGTTCCGTGGAACCCTAGCCTTCCGCCAGTAAAGCTCAGGGGTTCCGCAAGAAGTTACACAACTACTACGATTGACAGTAATTTTTAATTCTCCTGTGTGTTTAGGTACCGCCACTAAATCAATAACAAAACAGCATAGTATGAATAAAAAAAGTTCCAAACTTAAAATAAATGTAATCCATTTAAACTGAAGTTTTTTAATACATGTTTAATAACCGTAGAAACAAGATTAAAATTGCATATGTACGTATACAATATTTTTACAGTTTGTCTTTGTATTTTTTTGTAAATAAATCTGAAGATGAGTATTTTTATTCTATTTTAATAATTGAAAGACAATTAATTTATTGCAGGGGTTCCTCGATCCACTGGAATGTTTCCTTGTGGTTCCGCTCCAGCAAAAAGGTTGAAAACCACTGCAGTCTAGAGTAAGTACACCACCTCTTGCTTTGTAAAGAAAAGTATTTATAGAAAAGACGGGAGTCTTACCAAAGAGAGAAAAGGGTCAGAATAGCTGGGAAGTTATGGAGAGCCCTGATCGCCCATTTACTGACTCGACGCGACACAAAGAAAAAGTAATGTGGATATCTACTCACCCATAAACTTAGTTTAACATCATTCCGTGTTTCAAAGCATCATGGGGTTTAATTAACCCATATGCTCTTGGCATCAGTTTAAACAGACAAACTTTTTCCCATATGATCATTTTGCTTAAATTTCGTATTCTAGAAGAGAATTTGAACATTTACCAACATATTTAATTGAAATTTTAACTTTCTAATGTGTGACACCATTTAGGGCTGCAAGGAAAAAGGAAGAAAAAAAAAGAAAGAAAAAGAGAGGCGAGAATTGAAACTTAGATGATAAAGGAAAGCCATCACAAAAGAGGCATTTAGCGATGTTATTTTGATAATGAAGAATGGTGAAAATTTTATGGCCATTGTAGAAAAGCTAATTGACGAAATCCAGGTGGGCCAAATAACTAGATACAGAGTTTTGAATAGATAAAAAATTAACTGTGTCATGGTGGCGAACTTATATTATCGGGAAAAGATTTTCCGTTGACCGAGAAATAAGAATGTCCTGACCACACACGAGTTGCAGAAAACAAAGAAAATAGGTTAAGTCTTTGTCGATGGAAAGATATCGTTAGACAAGGTGTCTGTTTTGTGTTGAAATTTGACTATGACAGCGAAACAAGATTATCAGAAAATGGCGAAGTCGTTTCATCGTATCAGTGGTTGGCGCCGGAGAGTGAGTGCGTCTGGTTGACCAGCCACTTGGTGCTGGCGAAAATCTGATTGACGAATTCCATATGAAAGTGACTTTGGGATAAGAATTGAGATTATCACACTACGGGTCGTATTGTTCTGTTGGCGGCCAGAGAAGAAAGAAAGGAAATAGAAAAAAAGAAAAAGAGGAGATAATTTTTTTTCTTTGAGCAAGATATTTTATTTTAAAAAAACAAGGCTAGTCTGGTCACACCCAAACTGTTGAACGCCATTTGGATGAATGTTAACGAGAGCCAGGCGGAGGTTATCATGTGATGCAGGGGGAGAGGCCTGCTACCACCCATTAAGGGGATAGGTATGAGATGTTACTGCGAAGGAGTAGGAAAACCGTTGACGCCTTCTGAGGGTATGGTAAGAGACCCATATGAGAACAGAAGGTGGGAGTAAGAGAAGACTTCCAAAAATGGAAATAATAAATTTTTCCTGACCGAAAACAAAAGAAGGGGATTGTGGATTTGGAATTATCAAGGAACCTCAAACCCCGACGAGCCCACCTCGGTTTGGGTCGGCGTCCATATAAGCAAAGTCGCAGCGAGCGAAAATCAGTTTCAGTTGAGTTCCCGTGAGTTCGAGTTTAAGTCGAGAGCTCTGAAGACCAACCACGCATTAGCTGACTAAGATTCGCGCAACTTCCGAACTCATCTTCTAATCAAGAACAATTTATTTTTGAAGAACGACTTAGACTCATACCACCAAAACAAGTTTTACGAATATCGCCTGAAGACACACCAAGAACCAGTTTCTTAAAGAACAGACAACTTAAGATGTTAAGACTCGCCTAACAAAAACAACGTGTCACGAATCCATATAGCGGTTTGGGAGAAAGACGTAGTCCTATATTCAGCAACCAGATATAAAATATTGTTATCCTTTTTAACACATTTGAACTTTTCGAGTTATTATTTTCTTTTCTTTTGCATATACTTGTGCGATATCGCCCTTATTCGAACTTGCATTACGGCCCCAGCGATTGATTGATTTCGTCTGCCTAGATCAATTCACAACGTGGGTAGGCAGACTGGAAATCAAAGTAGTTACTTCGGTAACCAGACGTTGGAGGCGAGTTGGGAACGACGAGGCTGATATCGAATCTAACCAGATTCCCATCCGAATCACCAAAAGGTTAGAACGTCACATTTGGGTGCCGCGACCGATACCAAGCCAGTTGGTCGTCACAGGACGGGATAGCACGACTGAGGCAGACAGGCGGACGTCACGTTTGGAGCGGCGACGAACGAACGAGCGGGGGACGTCACAAATGTTATACTTTAGATAAATGGAAAATAAGGAACGCGTCAGTTTAAAATGATGAGAGAAGGATTTGGGGATAATGTCGAGGAAAACGTATTGGAGCTTGGAAAACTGAAAACATATTTGATTTGGTGTCATGATGAATGTGAACTCATTTTTTTTCTTAACACAATGACACGCACGCAAACATGTAAATATATTAGTAGTATAATTCTTTTCTTACGGAGTTCAAGAGCTTTTTAATATACGCAAAAATAAAAAAATACATATAAAATTATTACATATATATATATATATATATATATATATATATATATATATATATATTAAAACATATATTCCGTGACTTATCGTACCTTAACTTGTCACTCATCGACACAACGCAAATTGTTGCCCATATGAAACCTCACATCAAAAATTTAGAGTACTACTGAATAAAGTGAATATTAGTAGATGATACCAAATTAGAATTCACTAAAAAGAACAAGTAAAATATTCAAAAATATTATATAAGTGAAACATCACGAATTATTGAAATGTGTACAAAATATTGAAATATAGATAATGTGCATATATTTATAATATTTATATAATGAATTTTCCAGTGAAAATTTGTGTCGCCGTTCATCAAAT